TATTCTATTTGAGAATTTATTTTAAACAAATATATCCAATCAAATCATACAAATATAAAAAAAAATAATATTAAGAAAAATAATATATTTTTAATTTCTCTCTAAAATAAAATATTTTAAATCATAATTAAAATAGAATCAAATATTTAAAAAAATAAATATTGATGTGTATATACACCATCAAATTTCTTGGGCAAAACCCAAATATAATCCAAAACAGAAAATATATAGTTTCTAGTTTTATTTTTTTAAGAATTTACTGTAAAATTCTTTTTTTCAAGCCCAAACCAGATTTACGAGATATGATTCGAGAAAAAAAATATCATGAAAAAGTTAGAAAAATACTAATTCATTGCGATAGAGGGGTCTCTATTTATTAACAAAGCGACATATAAATCTCCTTACTAAGATTTAAATTGATAATATTATAAAAATATTCAGTAATAAAAAAAGAACAAATTAAAAAAAAATTAATTATTAAGAATAAAACTCTTTTCAGGCAACTGAATAACTAACGATACCAAAAAGTTTTGCGGGTCCATACTATAGTACCTACAAATTAAAAGTATTATATATTTTTAAAATTAAAAATTTGCTTAAGAATGTTGCCAATCCACATAGAGTAACTTATAGTCATTTGCATTTAAAATAAACTTTAAAAATCGTAAAAACTATAAACCGATTTTGAAAGATTTAATTTTGTATACTCTATTGTGAAAATTTATTTCCTTTAAAAAATATACCCCAATCAAATTCATACCAAGCTATAACAAAAAAAGTACAAAATAAAGAATTATCTCCTTCCAAAGTAAATATTTTATATTTCTATTTTTGAGTAATTTATTTTTAAACCAAATATATCCAATCATTTAATCGACTACAAAAATAAGAATAAAAAAAATTAATTAATTAAGAGCAGAAAAGAATTAAATATATTTTTAATTCTCTCTAAATAAAATTATTAAATCATAATTAATAATAGAATTACAATATTTAAAAAATAAAATATAAAAATTTTTTCAAATGGTTGCTTATACAATATATATTTATTAAAATAATAAAATTTTAGAAAATTAATTTTTGGAAAAATAAAAATTTTAAACTTCTGAAAAGGTTTTAATTTGTGATAGATTCTATTGAGAATTATTTTATAAAAAATATTTTAAATCAAACCCATACAATATAAAGAAAAATATTAATATAATAATATATTTTTTTCTTACCTCTCTCCTAAATAAAAATATTATATATATTACGTATTTGTAAAATTAGTTTTGAAAAAAAAAAAACCTCTCTCCTAAATAAAATATTATATATATTCTATTTGAAAATTTATTTTGAAAAAAAAAAATCCAATCAAATCATACAAATGCAAAGAAAAAAGAGAATATTAATAAAAAAACATATTTTTTTATTTTTCTCAGAAATAAAATATTTTAAATTATAATTAAATAGAATTAAATATGTCAAAAAATAAAATATAAAAATTTTCAAATGTCTCCTTATCATATATATTTACTAAAAATAAATTTAAAAGAGATAAAACTTAAAATTTTGAAATACTTAATTATCTATATGGATTTATTTAAAAAATAATTTTTATAAATATATTCAATCAACTAGTAAAAAATAATTTTCTAATTAGTTATGACTAATAGCATATTCTAAATTTTATTAAGAGCATTATTTGAAATCCTATTATTCCCCCATATTTCCACATTTATATATAGTATAAATAAAAATTATGAGAAGGAAAATGTCCTATAGGTTTGGATTTAATCGAAATAAAATGTTAAGATTAGCTATTGATTTTGGTGATAATTTTGTTAATTTATGGACCAAATGCATAAATTAACTCGTGCACTTTATAGAAAAAAAATATTGTGGTATGGAAAAAATATATTCACATTGTAGCAATAATATTTTTTTTTTGTGTTTTTGGCATTTATATGCAAATTATTCACTTGAAGCATGCGTCGTATAATCTTTGAAATAATAATTATTATATTTTTCAACTATCCAATCAATCTAATTTTACAAATTTCAGTGTTCAATAAATAATTTTTATAAAAGTATTTAATGGGTACTATTTTATGAATCGAAGTGTTGAATATATTAAAGTAAAAGTTGAGAGTGCCACAAAATTTTTTACCTAAAATACATAAGTCATGCATTACACCTATTTTTTATAAGAGTACAACGTGTCTTAGCATGAAATGTCATGTTTGGTGTTTGGTGTCTCATCTGTGCTACCTAGGTTATTATAGAGATTACAAGGTAAGTCCAAATTGACCAACTAAGAAAGATAGTGATAGTCTTGAGTTTTGATCATATATCAGCTTTGATTTTCTGCAGGAGCCCTGAACTTTTGAAACATAGAAAACACTTTAGATTTGTTTTTAAGAAAGTAGACCCAACAATAACTTGAAAAATCATCAATAAACAAAAGAAAGTATCTGCTGCTATTATGGGAAGGTACGCTCATGGGTCCACATACATCCGAATAAACCAGCTGGAGCTTCTCAAAATTCGCTAAATTTAGAGGAAATGGAGTTTTACTAAATTTGCCAAGTTGACAAGTGCCACAAACATCAGAAATCACAGAAACAACAGGCAAATCATTCACCATTTTGCTTTTCTGGAGCAACTTTAAAGCATCATAATTTATGTGTTCTGGCCTTTTATGCCATAAATAAGAATTAGTTTCAATACTAATAAAAGCTCCAATGTTATCATTTTTCCAATCAATATTAAAGCTCCGACTATGCATTTTAATTGATAGAAGCTTTACCACAGAAGGATCAATAATTTCACAGAATTTGTTTTTAAATTTAAGTGAATAATTCTTTTCTGAGAGCTGACCGACACTTAATAAATTATAACAAATCACAGGCACAAATAGTACATCAGAGATAAAGTTTTGTACCTGATAGAGTTTGCACAAATACAACACCTTTGCATTTGACGTCAACTTGTCACCTGTTACCAAGCTTTACTTTAGAAGAATAAGTTCTGTCCATAGTTGTAAAGATTTTTGAATTTGCTGTCATATGGTAAGTACAGCCATTGTTAATCATTCAGGCATCAATGGTTTGAGTTCCAACTGAACATGATTCAACAATGGCAACATCAAAAAGGTTTTTCTCTTGATTTTCAGACCCATCAGTGATTTGAGCAGGCTGAGCTTGATTTTGTTAACTAGCATTTCCTGGACAGACCCTCTCAACATGTCCAAACTGCTTGCAGGCTTTGCATTGGATCCCAGGCCTGAACCAACAGTAATTTTTAGTGTGATTTGACTTCTTACAATGAGGACAAGGTGGATACTTGTCTTTTATTTCTTCCTTTACTGTTATAATTAAATTTTTTACTTCTCTTTAAATGAGAGTCTGTTTTTGCACCATCAGTTTGCACCTTGCCTTTTGAGGCAACAAGTGCATTCTTAGTTGAGCCTTCTTCTTCTTTAAAAGCCTTTCGTTGCTCAATAGCTTGCAGAGGACTTACAAGCACTGTGAGAGACAACATACACAGATCATAGGCATCATCAAGTGAAGTGATCTTTGCCTCAAATCTTTCTGGAAGAGTTAACATTACTTGCTCCACAACTCTCCTTTCTGGTAAATCCTCACCGAACAACCTTACTTTATTCACAACTTTCATAACTCGATCGATGTACTCCTTCACCTTCTCAATATCTTTCATTCTGAGAATCTCAAACTCCTTCCTTAAATTGAAGATCTGCATCTGTTCTGTCTTTTCGCTTCCTTGGAATTTTGATTTCAGGCTGTCCCAGACTTAGTTTGCTATTTTGCAAGCCATGATCCTTAGGAAAGTAGTCTCATTTACTACTGAATGAACACTATGCAGGGCTCTAAACTTTCTAGAAATCCTTTCCTCATAAACTTTAATCTGATTCAACGTTGGATTCCCTGGCAATGCAACTTCAAAGTCTGTTTCAACAGCCTCCCACCGTAGCAGACCCTTGAGATATGCTTCCATTTTTATAGACCACAAATGATAATTCTCCAGTAAAAACTGGAGGAGAAGGAGCAGAAATGTTGCTGCTTGTAGCCATTGCAAGGATAACCAAATCATTCAAGTGTTTTTGGTTTTTTGATGTGAGGGTTTCTTGTTGGTTCTCTCACACAGTCCCACAAAGATCAATTCAGCTCTAATACCAGATGTAAAAATTTGTTTGGTATACAGATATAGAGAAGAAGATAATGAGCTGTAAAGGGAAAACACAGATTTCATTGTTGTAGTGAAATATATATACTGATACAAAAGAGTATGAGTCAATATCAAATCTCCATGATTTAAGGAAATTTGTTCCCTTATTTAAGGCTAAAAATAAGCTCCACCATAATTCATTAAAACTTCTAGTACATTTATTAATTACGTTACAAAATATTCAAAAAGAAGCAAAAAAAAAAAAAAAAGCAAAATCTGGGGCATAGCTTTGTATCATATCGTCATGATCAAGAACACATAGTCAATTCAACAAATAATCACAATAAGATGGGTTTAATTAGTCCTAGGAATTCCAAAACTAAATGGGAGCCTATCCCTGAGTTCTGGCTATCCAATAAGGGTCATTTAACCTTTTGGGCGGGTGGCGACGTCCTTTCTTCAAGCCAGCATGCCACTGGAATTGGCCCGCCAATACTCGAGCTGACAACCCCAATTCCTTAAGCATGGTGTTGAGAATACTCGAAAGACAGCCCCACACTTGATTTCTCAATTCCATAACTCATTTTTTCATGTAAACCGATAAACCGTAACCCTCGATATAACATTCCAAATCACTCCTCACCCATCGCACATATTCAGCCATCATTGTGCATCGACAAATTCTCTATGATTTACGCACCTATAGGTTCTAATACAAATGCATCTATGATATAAATATCTATACATATATACTCTGCATTCGAGAATTTATTCTACACTTATGGTGTTTAGCAACAGTCCTGCCTAGTTTGTACGACGTGCTTAGCATCTTGTAAGTAATCCTCAGCTAAAATAATAATAAGATTATGGAAAATTTTTACGGCCAATATGCAATAACATGTTTAATCTAACAGATAGAGAGAAATGCTAGTACTCGCAGCAACAATTTACAATGTCAACTACTGATATGAAATGACTATTTATGAAATTTATCGGCGAAAGAGAAGGCTTCTGGGAGTTGTTTTCCCTCTAAAAATGAACTAAATAGCACAAGGGATCTCTCTGGCTGTGAAAATGGAGCTTCATGAGATGCACCTCTAATGGTGGCAAAAGATAAGATATCTCCATATACTTGTGTCCAACCAGCAACCTGGAGAAAATTGATTAATTAGCCTTCATTTTATTCTGCTAAGCTGAACTATGAAGAAATTTTGGTTTCCTAGTGATGAAATTTAAATAAACCTGTTTTCCCTCGAACCAGGTTCTATAGGGAACAGTTGTGTTGAGTCCTAATTGCTTTGCCAATCCATTCACCAGTGATCTTGTTCCAGTAAGTGGAATGACTGAATCTTGGTCTCCACTGCAGAAAAAGTTCAAAATGTTAATTACTGATGAGAAATCTCCCACATGGCCAAATATTCTAATGTTTATAATTAGGATATTAGATAATATTCTGAACTATATTGTTAAGTTGATCACCTGTAAACAAAAACTCGAATGCCGGATTTGACAAGCTTGCCAATAATAGGAATGGTAGGTATTTCTAGATTTTGAGTATTATACTTCACCACACTATTATCAGAAGAAAAAATAAAACACAAAATGGTGAGAGCAAAACCAAAGTAATAGGAAATAAAGTTTAATTCAATGAAAATAGTTGTTAAAGTTGGATATTGAATTTCTAACAATCAATGAATCAATTAGACCACTGCACCAAATGGAATTTAATCTGGTATGGAAGGAATTGGTATTAGCAAGGTTAAGATCAGATAATTACTCGGTGCACACAGTCCATGCATTGACACCAAGAAGCTGAGCATGAAGAGCTTCTTGAACATCTTTTCTGTTTAAATACTTCACTGTTTTATCTTCTACGCAGACATCAATTTGCCCAGCATATTCCTGTTCAACACAACGTAGTAGTAGCCTCATCAAAAACCATTTATGTAGGATGGAATTGAAACTTGTCTTATAACGGCCTACAATTTGATCTAGGAAATAAGCAGAACTAAAGGAAATGAAGAGTGGAAGAGCATACCATTTGATTCAACAGATGCGCTTGGGATTGGACAGATGATAAGCAAACATCAAGAGTAATGTCATAAGTATCAACAAATTTACTAACTTCTCTTGAGACTTCACTATTCACTTTAGAGCAAGCAGGGGAAAGAAAGCCACTAGCTTCGTATTCTCTCCTGATCTGAGAATAGTTACAAATTGTGGTAAAAATCTGGTAGGTTGCATCTGATATTAGACCATGAGACCAAAAATATTCGGCTCGTGAATTGAAGTCTGTATCAAATTCTAGAAGTGGGTTTCCTATCTGCAGCCATCAAAGTTGAATAAATGTTATTACTAACAATTCAGATATGCATATAGAAAGGAAAATGGTATAGAAAGCATGAGCTCATTGTATAAGGACTCCACTATAAATATTCTTTTTACTCACTGCAATCCCTTTCAGGTTTATTTTTGCATTGGACTGGACAATGAGCTGTGCAAGCTGTGGGGCATAATGACCTACAAAGAGAAATAAGATCATTTAGAATCTCTTTCCTTTCTGAGTCCTTTTTAGTTCAAATTGCAATAAATTCTTACTGTCATATTCAAAACTAACAACTAAATAAATATTCTACCTGCATAGCTCTCTCCCGTTATGAAGAAATCTCTATCTTTATATTCTGGGAATTTGGAAAACCAGTGTTCAAGAAATGCAAGATTGTCTTGAGCTATCAAGGAAAAGAAAAAGCCTCTTTATAAGTTCAATACAAGAAAATCCCAGCATAGGCAACTGTTGAACTAAAACAATTCACATTGTACATGTATTAGATATATAATGAAGTTCAAAGCTATTTATGCATTTGAGCTTGTTTGGTATAAACGAATTCCACAATTTTAACAAATTTATTTGTAAATCCACAATCAAAGCTTATAAATAAAATTTCGTTTTCTAAATTTTTAATTCTATAGAAGTAGTTACATGTCCCAAGTTCTACCCAAATCATAGAATTTGCAAATAAATTCAGAACAAAGCACGAGCTAGTAAAGTTATATATTAAAAAAGAACTTTAGATTTTATCCAAATATGAAAATTTATTTATAAATGAACTTGCTTAATGAAATTAAATTATAAATAACACGAATTCAATGTTATTTATGTATGATATAATTATCAGTTTATAAGAAGCAACCTGTTATCTCATCATTCACAGAAGCGTAGAAGGAATCATTAGCAGAGTAGGAGAAGCCAACTCCTGCAGGTGATTCCAGGTATAACATATTTGCTTCTGTAAGCAAGAAAAGAAAAGATTAGAGCACAGAAAAATGAACCAAAAAACAAAAATAAAGCTTCAATTATTAAGAAAAAAAAAATGCAAGAACCGTGAATATTTCAAATGGGCAACCTTTATTCCAGCTAAAATCATTTTTAAGTAGTATGTCTCCACTTGGTTTAAAAGGTCCATGCTCACAGAAAGCTCCTGCTCCAATAGAAGAGCAACCAGGCCCTATAAAGAATATCTAATTTCATCAGTTTAGAGCATTTAAAAAGCATGCAAATTTTGGTTTTTTATATGTATATATATGTACCTCCATTTAGCCAGAGAACAAGAGGCTTCGAAGCTGAGTTTATCTCTGCTTCCACAAAGTAGTAGAAAAGAGCTCTCTTATGGTTTTCATCAATTGTTATGTAACCTGCGTACTGCTTGAAACTGACCTCTGGTTGGCCTGGCAATTTTACAATTTCATCGATTTCTGAGGCTGAGAGACATTGTGCTGCTAACAAGAGCACAGTTACGCAAATTGTGGCTTTGATAATCCATTGCTGTGGCTTCATTGGAGAGTTAGTGAGGAGAGAATAAGAGAGAGAGAGTGGAGTTTCTTGAAAATGTGTCTTCTTTTAACCAAGCAATAATACAATTTCTCTCTCTCTCTCTCTCTCTCTCTTCACTTTTCCGCAATTAATATTAATTGAATCTTATATTTTGAAAGAAAATTTACTTAATTACTTATTTATTTAATTTGAAGGAAAAGAAAATTTATTCATTCACATGTTTTTTCTTTTGAATAAATCCTTTCCTATGTTTTTGTTGTGCGGTGCCCACTCAAGTGGGACCCACAATAAATTTGAAAAAAAAAAAAAAAACACATGTTCTTTAGAAGGAATCAAAGATTGGCAACCAAACTATGACGTAAATGGAGAAGCCGTGTGTAACTCACATACGGCTTTTACGTCAACTCTCCTATAAATAGGAGATGGCTCAGCTCATCTCAGCACACAGAAGAAAGAAGAGAGAAAATGCGAGAGAGTTTTCTAGTTTTAGGATGGTTTCCTAAAATTAGAGAGAGAAAAATAGTGAAGATTATTTTGGGGTGTTTTTGGGAAACAATTTGTGTATCACTATTTTTGTATTACTCTCTATACTTACTATTTTTAATAGTGGAAGAATTATTCGGAGTTTGTCTCGTGGACGTAGCCCTAAATAATTGAGGGTGAACCACGTAAATTTCTGTGTGTCCCATTTCTATTTTTCTGCTGCGTTAATTTTCTCTTAATTGGTTGAAAGGGCCCAACACGTAAATTTCTGTGTATGTCCCATTTTCTATTTTTCTGCCTGCGTTAATTTTCTCTCTGCGTTAATTTTCTCTTAATTGGTTGAAAGGGCCCAACGAATGGTATCAGAGCTGATGCCCAAAAACTGATATCAGAGCTGATGCCTTAACAGTTTTTTAATTATATAAAATAATTATAAAATTAGAATAAAGAAAATTTATTATAATGCTAAAACATGCGATACCACCTTTACTAATTAATAAAAAGAATTATAATAAATTAACTACGGTTTGGCTGATTGAGATAAGGTATTGGATGCTTTAAGTAACGTGGAGAATTTGAATGAAAGTATAATTTTTTTATTAATAAATGAATTTTTAAATTCAGTGTAACGAGTAAGGAGGAACATTTATTTATTTAAATATAGTCACAAAATACTTAGTGTAAAAAAAAGTAAAATGGTAAAAAAAGAGAGAAATATTTAGTCCAAACTTATATTGTTTTTAACTTTTTTTTTTTTACCCTTTTAAATTATTTACTAAGTTTAAAATTGCGTTCTTTTGAAGCATTTTTCAAAATTTTCTTATAATTTATTTAATTAATAACATTTAAACAAAATAAAGTGATAAGTTATTTGATTATTTTGTAAAATTAATTAATTCTATTCTTATATGAGTATGAGCATTCTAAAATTTATTTAAAATAAAATTTACCAATATTTTTTAAACTCATATTAATATTTTCAAAAGAAAGATATAACTCATGTTAACTCATTAATACATATCTTTATTAGAAAATTTTTTTAGGACAATTTCTTCTATATTAATTTTCATATATTCATTAAGCACTATTACTAAGAAGATTGAATTAAAGTATTAGGGAATAAAACATAGACTTGTCCTATTACTATTATTTATTTCATGAATTACTTGTAGTATTATTTTATTGCTAAATTAGAATTTCATGAAAAAAAAACCTTCATTGTGTAGTCATTTGTGAGATTAGAATTTCAACAAATTAATAAAATAAAATATAATGGTTTTCATAATATTAATTAAAATAAAGAATAAAAATATATAGTAGCATTGAGAAACCAATAATACAAAGTTGGTGCGATAATTGAGACAAAAGATGGTAGCAGTATGTATATAGAGAAAACAGAGCCCGTGGATATGCGATACACACAAGCAAACAGAAAAGCCAAATTCGAGACAAAAAGTGAGACAATATTGATATTGTCGGCATCTTCTTTTTCAAACTTTGAACGCTTTTTCAAATGCACGTTCTATGGCCTCAGTTTGAACACTCATACACCATTCCAAAATTGTCAAATCAGTCAGCGCCAATCAATTTTTCTTCTTATTTTTAAGTAGTTCATGTGTTTTGGTTAACCCCTATCTATACTCTGTGTAAACTCAGAGATAAAAGAAATAAATGAGATTTTTGATAATATTTTTAAATAAATTTAAAATATATTAAAATAATTTGGATCATAGTTAATTAAAAAATTATATTTTATTAATTAATTAAAAATCTATATTTTTATTAATTAATCTTGATATATTTTATAAAAATTATTTTAAATAAATTACATATAAATAATTAAATATTTTTAAAATTTTAAACTTTTATCTTTTTTAAATTTATTTTTAATAAATAAATATGAGTGAGGATATATTTAAAATTTGTATATTTTATTTTTTAAATATAATTCTATTAAAATTTTTTTATTAATATTTTTCTTTATATTTTTATGATTAATTGGATTCTATTTATAAACATAATTTTTAAATAGAATATACATAATATTTAATAGAATATACATAATATTTTATTTAGAGGTGAGATAAAAAAATAAAAAAAATATTATTTTTATTAATATTTAAATTTTAAATTTTAATCTTAATAATTGAAAATTTTTTTTTGCTAGATGCATTCGGAAAAGAGTTTTATTCTTAATAATATTTTTTATTTTTATTTTTTTGTTACTGAATAATTTGTTACTATTATCATTTTAATGTAGTAAAAGATTTATATTTCCCTTGCAATAAATAGATGTCTTCTTGATGATTAAGTATATTTAATTTTCTTGATATTATTCTCAATCTGTTTGACTTTAAAGAAAATAGTGTTTAAGAAACTAGAAAAAAAATTAGAACTATATATTTCTATTTTGTGTCACTTTTTGGGGTTTTAAGAATTTATATATATTCATATATTCCATTTTCTCATACATTAGGTAAGTAATAATGCCACTTAATCAAAATGATTACCATTATCAATTCAGTTTGAGACCACTTCTTTATATAAAAATAGAATTAAGTATATAAGAAGTAGCATTATAACTATTTTGTACGACAAAGTATAATACTAATAAATCACTTGTATTTATTTTATTCTAAATAAAAATTTATCCTTTAATATTATGTAGATAATAAAAATTAAAAGAGTACAAAAAAATGAGTATATAACGAGTATAGTCAACGTGTAATGCACGTCATAAAAAAAGTAATAATATATATAAATGTGGGAATAATGAAATTTTTGATAGTGCCTTTAATGAGATTTAAAATATATTAAAATAACTTTAGTCATAGCCAATTAGTTGATTAGGTATATTTATAATAATTATTTTTAAATAAATGCATATAGATAATTAAGCTTTTCAAAATTTTAACTTTATCTTTTTTAAATTTATTATTAATATAAATATATTATAAGGAGACATTTGAAATTTTATATTTTATTTTTAGACATTTCGACAATTTTACCTATTTTAATTTTTTAAATATTTAATTCCTATTTTAATTATCAATCTTACAAATATTTTTTTAATTAATATCCTTTTTTCTTATATTTTTAAAATTCTTGATTGGAATAGGTATTTTCTAAATAAATTTTTTACAATATAATATATCTATACTTCCTTATTCTACTAGAGCAGAAATAAAACAAGAAATCACGTATATTATTCTTACATCTAATATTTCTTTTCTTTATCGGTCCGTATAATTTGATTGGGTATATTTTTTAAAAACTAAATTCAAATTAGTAACACACATACATTCAACCCCGCCTTCCCTTCACAACTTTTAAACATTCTTTACTCTTGCAAAATTTATTTTACAACTAAATGAACCATATCGGCGCTTCTTATTGGGTGTGTCGGCGAATTGTGAACCATTTAAATTCTTTCCTCTACATTCTAAACAACATACTATATACATATTTCTACTTGACCTAATATTCTATATTTATCACTATACTTGCAAACTTCTCTTTTATTAAGTGAGCTCTCTGAACCAGCAACTTTTATTTTTCAATACTGATCTTTTTTATTTTTTTTTTTTTTTTGTTGCCGATAATTTGTACACTCTTATCATTTCTAATTTTAAGTAAACGCTATTTATTCTCCCTTACCAATCACATATATGGCCTCTTGAATTGATTAAATTCTTTAATTTTTTTTGACTATTTTTTTTTCTGCTTAATTACTAAAAATCTACTTTGAGTCTTCGAATAGAAAATAGTAGTTTAGAGAAATTAAAAAAAAAACTAAAACTTACTATTTTTGTTTTGGCATCACTTTCTGGCGGTCTCTCAAAAATTTGTGTGTATGCCTGCACTATTTCCTTTTCTAATACACTAGGGTAAAGTTAGATATGCTACTGTAGTCAAAATAATTACCATTATCAACTCTCAGTTTGCAGACCTACTTCATTATATAAAAATAGAATTATATAATATTTTATTGATATATTTATATTTATATATATTGAAACTTTTTTTATTAAGTGAGTTCTGAAAGAACTTTATTTTTAATAATGATTTTTTATTTTTTTATTTTTTTTGTTGCCGAATAATTTGTAACTCTTATCATTTTAATTTAGTAAGATATTTATATCTCCCTTACAATAATATATGGCCTCTTGATGATTAAATATTTTTAATTTTTTTGATATTTTTTTTTCTCTTATTCTAAATCTATTTGAGTTGATAGAAAATAGTGTTTAGGAAATTAAAAAAAAAACTAAAACTATATATTTTTGTTTTGGATCACTTTCTGGGGTTTCAAAAATTTGTGTGTATGTGCATATATTCCTTTTTCTAATACACTGGGTAAGTAATACTGCTACTGTAGTCAAAATAATTACCATTATCAATTCAGTTTGAGACCACTTCATTATATAAAAATAGAATTAAGTACATAAGAAGTAGCATTACAAGTAAATTTTACAATAAAGTTTATACAAATTAACCACTTGTATTTATTTTAATCTAAATAAAACTTATGCTTTAATATTACAAAGATAAAAAAATTAAAAGGGTTCGAAAAATGAGTATATAACGAACATAGTCAACGTGCAACGCACGTCATAAAAAAGACCAATAATCACTTAAAAG